GTCTCCTTTACCGACTAATGCTAAAACGTTAAGGTAATCATAATCATCATTATTATTATTATTTTTTTCTATAATCACGACTCATATATACATTTCAAAAAAAATTTTTTTTTTTTTGTTTTCAGTTATGGCTGCCTTATTTACATGGCGACGCAAATCGCCTCCGGTATGAAATATTTAGAATCGTTAAATTTTGTTCATAGAGATTTAGCCGCGAGGTAAGGCATTAATTATTTAATAATAATGATAATAATAATAATAAACGTAATTAAATTCGAATATTTTCATCGACGTTTTATAATAATAATAAAAAGAGACAAATTTTTTTTTTTTTTTTAGGAATTGTTTGGTCGGAACAGGTTACAAAATAAAAATAACCGATATTGGTATGAGTAGAAGTTTATATTCTGGTGATTATTATCAAATTGATGGAGATCTTATGTTACCCATACGTTGGATGTCGCGGGAAAGTATACTTTTGGAAAAATTCACTACGAAAAGTGACGTTTGGTCTTTTGCCGTGACGCTGTGGGAAATATTAACATTTGCAAGAGAACAATCATACGAAGAAATGTGCGACGAAAAAGTCATTGAAAACGTCGGTCTTCTATATCAGGATTCTGGAAAAAACGTAAGTAAATAAATGATAATGATAATGATGATGATGGTGATAAAGAAGAATTTTCTCGTTTTACTTTCTCTTTTTATTACAGGTTTTATTACATCAACCGAAAAATTGCCCGAAAGAAATTTACGACCTGATGCCCGTACACGTATCCATACTTGTGAATAATACGAATCAAAGGATGCAAGCACGCGTCTTCAAGAGATCTACACATCATTCATAGAACGTCATGGAAATTAATGGGAAACAAGAGGAAAATGTTACTAACGAATCTAGTCAAGTTTATCCGCGTGTAACTTCACCTTTCAGCACTACATCGCAAGAAGATATCCGGTTTGGAAGCTGACACGGTTCCATCAGTGTGGAGTTCCAGATCACGACGTCTTCATCCGATTCCCTCGAGAGTAAATCCTGCAATTCGTTTGTGATATTTCCGAAGAATGTGGGCCGTCCCACATAGTGCGATCTCTTGTACGGTT